CTTTCGTTTCAGAGAAATATTTCGGATGACTGAGTTCAGGAGATCATAATAGGTTATCTAGTGTGTTCCCAAAAACTATGTAACTTTTCAGATCATTTTAAAACATATATATATATATACCTCCATCCCAACACATCATAATGTGTAGGTTCCCCAGAACCATACACCCAACCCAACACATCATATAAGGCCCTGAGCACAAAGCCGAGGAACCTACGGAAATTCTTCCTTCAACAATACTCCCCATTTAAAACATTTTTCCGTCATTAAGCGGAGTTATCAGAAATCAAAACAGAATTCAGAACAGATATCAGAACAGAATCCAGATCAGAAATCGAAACAGAATTCAGGTCATGTATCAGAATAGAATTCAAGTCGGAAGTCAGATAAAATAATTATATAATTAGGGAACACACCAGAGTTTACAAATATTATTCAAAGGTATTGGATAATCTTAGCAAGTAGAGAAATACGAATCTTCAGTATACCGATAGAATGTCGGAATTTAGAATCACTATTGTAAAAAGTTCAATAACTGACGGAATCATCAGTTATTCAGAATGTGAATTATCAGGATCATATCTTATTCAGACAGTTTTCAGAAGTTGTACGTAATCAGAAGGGTATTCAGGATCTTTTACATCCATATCGATTGAGCGGATAATCGAACAACTTAACAACGAAGATTCAGAACCTTAACAATCTATGTCGACTGGTCAATTCATTTTCCTTCCAGTGTATTTACTCTTTAATACTACAAATTCTTGTTCATATATCATTTTTGAAATTAACGTTGAATAAATCTTCCAATGTCTTTATTTCATGTTCACGCTTTCACCATATCATGAAATACTGACGTACTTGATTTTGTAATTCATAATCCATAAGAACATTACATCATATTTGTTCATTAACATTTACAGATTCATCCAACTCACTTATTCAATCCTCAGTCCTTGTGGTTACTTAATTTATTTAGCATTCAAGTCCATTCCAGATACTTCGGGATTTTCTAGAGTAATTCAAGCGTTCCTGATTTTCAGACATATGTTGCACTTCCGTTCCATTCAATTTGGTCTTCATGGTTGATTTGTCAAACAAACGTCCAATTCTTAGTACTGAATGCGATCCAGAGTTGAACTAAGTTGAATACTTCCAAAATTTATCCTCGAGTCAAACTTAAGAAGACGAACACGCATTCCAGTAATATATATGCCATTCAGGTATTGACATAACTTTAGGGTTGATCTACTCACTTAAATTGTGTTCCATTACTTTTAAAGGTATGCCAATACCTATGCTTATTTGGATTCCTTAATTAATCCAAGGCATTTACTTGGTATAGGTCATGAGGGTATTTTGGTAATTTTGGTGTTCAGTTTTATTCCATTCATTTCAGAGCTCGAGGATATCCAATCATTCCTGAGCTTGGTGATATTCTTGGGTCATTTCCATTACATGAGTATTTTTGGTCATTTTACAGATTCAGTGCACTTTAATCCTTTCCTTCCGTCTGATCTTACTATTAATTTCAGTCTTATCATTTATTTCAGTCATTTCGAACAATTCTGACAACAGAACACCCCCGACAAATTATTCTTCAGGTATTTACTCATAACTTGGATATTTCCGGGTTAAATGCCTTCTCAGATTTTACAAACGGAATATCAGGAATTTTCCTGAACTAAGTCAGGATCTTAACAATCAAATATGTACTTAATCGAGTTAAGTACGAATCCTCAAAGTATTTTCTCATTCAGGGTCAACTCGGACTATTTTACCTCTCAAGAGCATTTCTGTAATTTTTTAACCAGATAATTTTGATATTAGCTCTTAACGAAAATAATTATAATTTAGAGATCCTATGATTAATTGATTTCTTGAACACTCTCTGATCTTGAAATGATTCCCTTAACAGACTTCTAATATCCTTCACAAACCCTCATAAGACTAAAAATCGGTTATCCGCATTTCCTAATCAAAACTAGCATTTCTTATGCACATAAATAATTTTTACCGGATCAATATGTCTTTTCAGAGATTACTAACCAACTTCCAGGGACAATTCTTGTCATCTTACAACATAAGGGTATTTTCGTAATTTTACCCTACTAGATTATTCTCATAATTTCTCATCCAAATACCTTTAACATTTAACCTTTGATGAAATAAATTATAAGTTGCAGATATAGGGCTGATTTCTTTATCACTAATCACAAACTTGTAATTTAATCTAACAATTCCTCAATCTCTTATATTAGTCATTCGATCTGTAATCAGTTACAGAATTTCTACCACATCATATCGAGTGTATAAATTATTCAACTCCACCAAAGTGCATGGTTTTCAGAACCGGACCGGTTAGCGAACCGGCCATGCTACCGGTTCACTAGTTCAACCGGTCGAACCGGTCGGAAGAACCAGACGACGTCATAATTATTTAAAAAATTAAATAAAAATACCAAAAATATTTAATAAAAAATAATTTTTTATATCACAAGTTATATTCAAAGCAAGTCATAACATATATAAATTAAAAACCATAAAATCAAGTGAAACAAAATGATTCAAATTAACTACAACTTAATATTTAAGGTAAAACATATTAAATAATAAATATAATTATATAACTATAATTAAAAAATAAATTTGGGGCTAAAAAAATCATAACAAAATGATATTGTTTGGTTTAATTTTTTTTTAAAAACAATCACACATGGCTAAGAAACATAGAAGAACATCCCAAAAGTCTAAAGAGAAAATATGAGAACAAAACAATCCCACATTGCTAAGAAACATAGAAGAGCATCACAACTAACTTCTATAAATAATAGAGGTAATTTGACATTCAAAATCATGGAGCCTTTTGGTGAGTATTGAGTGAATTATTCTTTCACTTCAATCAAGCTCGAATTTTAGGCTTCAATTGAGCTTCTAATTTTTTTTTATTTCAAGCCTTTTTGAGTTCAAGTTTCAATATTATATTTCGAGTTCGAGTTGAACTTGATAATTTTTAACTTGTGAGTTTGAGTGGAGTTGAGCTTACTTTTAAAGTTTTCAAGTTCGAGTCGAGCTCAGCAATACTCGAGTTCGACTTGGCTCGTTTAACAAACGACGTTTGGTTTAATTTTTTTTTAAAAAAACAAAATTTCAGGTTTTTCCGATTTTTTTTTCGGTTTTCAGCCGGTCCGGTTCGAACGGTTCAGCGGTTCAACCGGTTTAGATTAAATCGGACTAGGCAACGGTTCCCAGTTGAACCGGTTGAACCGGCCTGTCCGGTCCGGTTTTCAAAACAGAGCCAAAGTGACCAACATTATCTTGTTCATGCATTTATCAATATAAACATGTTCCATAAAGCATAAAGAGGTAGTAAAGTATTACCTCGATTTCCGTACAATATTGATCGACTATAAAAATTCCATTCGAACGCCTTTGATCTTTAATTCAACTTCCAATAATTCCTCATATACATATCAACATAAATTATATCAGAAACGGAGCTTAATTGCGATAAACGGATCGAATCGGGTGATAAATCAGTGAACAATAGCTAATCGAGTTCGAATTTGGTGAAACGGACTTCGGATTCGGATTCAGGAAGTATAAAATATGACTTTTAGGAAATTTGAAATTTTCGGTCAAAATCAAAGTCAATGAGTTTGACCGGCAATTTTGGGGTCTTTGGGTTCAAATTTCGAAAAACGGACAGCGGAATCTGATTTGGAACGTCGAAAATTGTCAAGATAAATATACTCGGTCAAAGTCAAAGGTCTTTTAATGCCCTGTCAAAGCTAATCAAAGTTTTGGTCAACAGTGGTAATGCCCTGTCAAAGCTAATCAAAGTTTTGGTCAACAGTGGTCAACGCATGTCAACGATCAACGGGTCGGGTCGGGTCAATGGGTTGGGTCGGGTCAACGGGTCGGGTCGGGTTGTAACCGGTCAAACCGGTCAACTATGCACCAAAACCGATCAAACCGGTCATTTAGACCATCCCCACGCGCAGTGGGGGCTCGTGGGACCCACTCCAGTGTCCTATAAATCACGTAAAAATTTCTAAGAATTATTTTGAGCGATTTCGAGATACTTACAAAGCTCGGTTTGAATTTTTGAAAGGCAGAGAGCTCGATTTCAACGAATCGAAAATTTTGATCGCTTCACCTCCTCACGCGCCACCGTCGACGGAGACCAAGGATGACACCGGCAGACTCGGAACGGAACAAGGAACACGATGGTGCGGGAGGTGTCGTAAAAGGATGATCGGATCGTCGTGAATCGATGAAAAACCAACTAAAACCGAGTTATTACCGACGATACTTCCGACTAAAATTAACGACGAACGGCGACGATTCACGACGAAAGGTTTGAGGGGTTTTGTTCATTGGTTGACAACAAACACGATGGTGGTTTCGGCTCGTCGATCGAAGGTCGGACAGCGAGTAGATCGGAGTTGAAAGTTGAGTTGTTGGGGAAGGGAAAACTGGAAAAATGTCTGGAAATTAATCGGGGAAGAGTTTATAATTCTCTCCTATAGAAAATTGGCTAAATTAATAGTTTAGCCACTAAATTTCCTGCACTTCTTAAAATGGTCTGTTAACTTTATAATTTTATAATTTAATCCCCAATTTCTTCCAAAAATACCAATTAAATTCACCAATTTATAATTTATTAAATTTAGCCCCTAAATTGGGGTGTTACACTTACCAAATGTGGGTCCAACAAGCAGACAGCATTTGTGAATGCCAATGCCATCTTCCATATATATCTCTTTCTTGGATACTATTATTCAAGAACAAATTAAGGGAAAAGGAAATGACTAATGCTATCATTTCGAGAAGGGGAAATATAGTGTGGTGTATTGTTTAGAGCAAAATGGAGAGATTTTTTCAATGGGAGCTTAAGTAATGTCTATCATAAAAAAATTCTCAAGCAAAAATCATTGTGTTTAAAGAACCTACGGTAGCTTGCTTTTATGAGCGGCAATCCAAAGGATTGCTTCGGTAAATACGACCATCCGTTCATTCATCCCGAATCAAAATCCGTGTTCCATCAACTATAAACAAGATGGACTGTCACCAGTAGCGCCCCAACATGTCGAAGTGCTTGAGATGATTAGACAACATGATGGGTTTGCAAGGGGCGAAAACAAGGAAAGAATTAAGCAAGTAATGCAATGGTAATGGTAATTTCACTGGAGAGACTAAATTTCACAAAACAATCCAAAAGTTTGCTTCTAAGATCCCAAGTAAACAAGTATATCAAATGAAATCTCCTCCTCCAACCCCCCCCCCCCCCCAAAAAAAAAGAATAAATTTTATCCATAAAAAAACTCTGCAATTATCTAGGGTTGTGCTGATGTCCTTGTTACTTTCCATGTTAAGAGCTGAAAGGAAATTTACCAGTCGTAAGAAAGCATGCTGAATTCTTTTCACCTTAAATGGAACCCACAAGGTATGGCCAACCAACCACTCTTGCTAACCTCCCCTGTGTTTGCCTCAACACCCGTTTTTTCCTATGTGACATGATAAAAACAGCAACGGCACTCAGTTAGGGCAATTATGATTAAATTGGATAACATTACTGATTGCATACATAAAATGACTTATAGTAAGTAATAAAAAACGCTTTAAAACACAGATTGCAAAAAGTTAAAACTCAAATCAAATAAACCATTTGACCATATTAAGTTTTTCCTAGACAAATAGTAACAGAATCCAGCAGCTGGAAATCAGTTGGTCAATAGCTGCAAGGAGATCAGGTAAGAGGTAACCGTTGCTGAAAAACAATTTCTCTTTGAATGGTAAAGACGTTGAATGTTGGACTTCAGTGATTTTCAGTTATAATATCAGAGGTAATTAAACATATTAGAGTACAACAAACCTCAGACTCAGAGCTCCGTCGTATTTTCCTAGTAGGAGTCCTCATTGTGACAAACTCCTCAGCTGATGTTGGATGAATACCCACTGTAGCATCGAAGTCTGCTTTTGTCAAGCCTGTTTTCACAGCAACAGCAAATCCCTGGAAATCAACTGCCAACATTAGGGGAGAAAAAAAACACAAAACCCAGCCGAACATAAAATAGAAAGCACTAATTCAGGTAAAGCCTTTAACCTGCACAATTTCAGCAGAATCTTCTCCACACATGTGCAGACCAAGAACTTTGTTTGTCTTTGCACAGACTATAAGTTTCATGAAAACCCGATCAGGAAGCCCTGAGAGAGTGGCCTTCAATGGCCTGAAGTTTGCTGTGTAGACATCAATATCAGTGCATTCTTTTATAGCCTGTAAAACCCTCAAATTGTGAGTAAAATAAACCACTTTCATCTGTTTCTAGTAAGCAAAATAGTTCCTCACCTGTTCTTCGGTAAGACCAACTTGTCCAATTGGTGGCTGGGAAAAGACAGCAGAGGGTACAGCCCTACGAAAAATGCATGCGAATATAAAGTCAAAAGACAATTAAAAGTGAAATAAAATTCACTTCTGTCCCAAAAGCACCCAAAATTTTGAATATGATACGATATTCTAAGTGGGTCCAGGGTAATAATCCGGGAATGTGAATCAATAACAAGTGACACTTGACAACAAGCAAAACTGGAATCTGACTTCCATCAACTATATCTCTACTAGGATTATTTCCAAGGCATTATTAGATGAGTGCGCCACATGGCATGTTAGAAAAACCATGTCATATAGTATACTGTTTATTATTTTCCTTTCGCATGTTCTTGTGACTTCTTTAGAAGATTTATCCTACCAAACATTTGATCCTTTAAAGCACCTGAATGTGCCTTCAATCATCATCAAATTGCAGACCGCCAAATAACTTACCATAAAAACCTAAGCCACCCCCATACATAAAATCCAATAAATTTAAACAAAAGTAGGAAAGAGAAAAAACTTCGGAGCAGAAACACGGGATTACCATCATCATTGTGCAGTAGTGAAAGGCTTTGGAAAGGTTATTCATTTATTTTAATGTTACTTTTTTAATAGGGGGAAAAAGAAGTCCGACACATTCATGACCACAAGAGATTACCATAAAAACCTAAGCCCCCATACATAAAATCCAATAAATTTAAACAAAAGTAGGAAAGAGAAAAAACTTCGGAGCAGAAACACGGGATTACCATCATCATTGTGCAGTAGTGAAAGGCTTTGGAAAGGTTATTCATTTATTTTAATGTTACTTTTTTAATAGGGGGAAAAAGAAGTCCGACACATTCATGACCAACAAGAGAGATAAGGAAGACAAAGAGCTGGGATTGAGGTTTGTTTAAAGAGAAGAAAACAGAAATAAATAATAAAATTATACATATGTATCTATACCTTTGAAATCGTAACATGCCACATATAAGATATCTAAGATTACAGTCAGAGGTAGCACGACAAGAGAAATGGTTTTTCCAATAGGAAGTGGAGCAACTGCCTCAACTGGTATTTAGCAGAGCAGAGGTAAAAAAAGAACCACTACTCTTTCTAATTTTACTTGATCCTTCAAAAATTTTCAATCAATCAACTCCCAGTGTTTAGATTACCTATAGTCAGGCTTAGTAGGCTCATTCTGAAACAGAGTTTTTGCTAATGCTCCTCCCTCCATCAAAGCAACAGGTGTCAAATTTATTCTGTCGGTGACATCCCCTACAGCCCAAATGGAAGGTACTGTAGTGCGTGAGTATTCATCAACCTAAAACAACAATGTGGAAAGAAAATTTATGAATGAAATGAAATAATACCAGTAAAGACATAATGCCTGTAAAAAATAAAGCAAATTGAGCTTGAAGATAAGAAAAGTAGTACCTCTATCGCACCATTCTTGTTAGTTTTTACCCCCACTGACTCCAACCCTATGTTCTGCAACATATTAGAACGCAATGTTAAACCCAATACAAAATTTATCAAATCTATCATGATTTTAAGAAGGCAGTTTAATTACATTTGCATTTTTAAGATGAGGGTTAAATATGCGGCATGTTAACTTTTCTCCTTTATCTTTTTCTTTATATGTCCTGTGTCTCTGGTGGGAGGTTTATGTGTACAGTTACAAATATGTTCGATGCAGTACCCTTTTCTGGTAATTGGCTACCAGGCCATTCACTAAGGGAACTGAGTCACAAAAGTTATTTCAAACCTTGGTATTGGCCTTCGACCAGTTGCAAACATTATATGTGAGAAGCCTTCAACTGTTCCTTTTCTGGTCATCAGAGACAATGAACCATCAGCTGCCTTAACAATCGCCTGAGGTAACTCCTCCGTGTGAAACTCAATTCCTCTTAGAGACATTTGTTCTCCAACAAAATCCCTGATCTATAATAAGGACCAATTTCTTACTAAGAACAACAAGATTTCTAAAACAGGTTACCATGCAAATTGCCATAAACATAATAAAATTAACTAGTAAAGCAGCTATCAATTTGTATGATCTTCACCTCTTCATCAAAACCCCGTAAAACTTTCTTCTGACGAATAAAAACATGGACCTCACTTTTCAATCCATTGAAAATGCCAGCAAATTCCAAAGCTATATATCCCCACCAACTATAGCATCTTCCCCGGTTTTGAGGGCAAATCAAGGGCAGCATCAGAATCTATGGCGTACTCACTTCCAGGAATCTCGGGAATAAATGGACGCCCACCGACCGAAACCAGTATATGTCTTGCAGTGTAAAGTTTTCCATCTACATCAACAGTGTGTGGATCCACAATCTGCAGGATATTTCATCAAAACGTATTCACAATGAAGAACCACTAAAAATTACAAATACAGGTCATCCTACCTTTCCACGGCCTTCAATTAATGTAACACCGGCATTGTTGAGAATGTTCTTGTAAATACCAGTAAGACGCTGCAACTCTGCATTTTTATTGGCCACTAAGGTGCTCCACTCAGGTTTTGGTTTAGTGTCATATTTCCAACCAAAACCATTACTCTCATCAAACTCGTGAGAATACTTCGATGCATAAACCATCAGTTTCTTTGGTACACATCCTCTTAGCACGCATCTACAATCATACTTGGGAATTTTATATTACAACTTCAAATAAACATAGACCAGAAAAAGAGTGACGGTTCTAAAGGTTAAACTAAGTTTATGTAGACTTTCATGAATTGCCTTTAGCCTTTAGTTTGCAAAACAGCAAAAGACTTCTGTCATCATAACTTTAGCTGCCTAAGTTAAGATTGTAAAGTTCAAGTAGCCCCGATAATTCAATGTGCAATAGACTCTAAAAATTCTTTCCTCGTGCAAATATATACATATATATATTGGTTTACACACACAATAAATAATTTACATATATATAAAGTAACGTTAAAAGGTCTGTTTATATCTGGAGACTTACGTTCCGCCAACGCCGCCGGTGGTCTCGGAGGAAATAGTCGAAAATGGAAGTTCACAGACAGCAACGGAAGCACCAAAATTGGAAGCGAAACGGGAAGCACGAACGCCCCCGCTGCCGGCACCGATAGTGAAGAGGTCAAAATCGTAATGTCGCTGTTGCTCAGCGCCATTGTCATCCTCTGCACGGGTTGAAAAGAGGCCACGGCGCTGCAACCGCATGTGGTGGCGGGGGCGGAAGCGAGAGGTAGAGGGAGAAAGCTGGCGTGAAAATGAATAAATGGTATTGGGTAAAGGCACGGAAAGGTTTCGGTAAAGGGTTCGAAGTGTTGGGGCAGAGAGTTTGGGAGCCGTAAAACAAGTAGTGACCATCTTTGGAAGATATCCCTTTTGTTAAATTTAATTTCTCTACTTTTGAATTAATATAGCTGTCGCGACCGTCTTTCGGGTGGGTCCGGAATTGGGCTTCGACTTAAATAAAATATTAGGAGTCGCCACCGATCATTTAAACAAAATATTTAGGTTGATCGGATACCATATTACCTGATCTGCATTTTACCAGAAATATGTAGGGCTCGGGAGTCGGTTACAGTCAAGGAAGGATTAGCACCCTTGAACTGTCCTTTCGGTACCATTTAATTTATCGGTTGTCTTAATTACAAAAATTAAAATTTAAAAATTCGATTCAAATTACTTACCTTTGATTGATTAAAATTATCCTAAAAAGATCATAAATAAAGTAAAAAACTAAAACAAACAAACACAAAGAGTTAGTATTAAAATCGAAATAAAAAAGAGTAAATAAAAAAGAATAAAGGAAAATTCGAATAAAAAAAAATTAAATTGGAAAGGATTAAAATTCATGGATCAAATTAATTCTAGGAATAAGCTGCAAAAAAAAAATTAAATAAAAATAGAAATTTAAAATATTAAAATAGCGAAAAAAAAAATTAAAAGACCAAACAATAATTAAGCCAAATGTAAAAATAATGACTAAAATAAGTATTCGAAAGCATAATGACCATAATATTAAAATATGGTTAGACTAGGGGGACTTAGGAGTGATTTGACCCTATATAATGATTTAAATGTAACACATGGAAAAGAAAGGGATCTAAATAGTATTAAACTAAAATTAGTGACTAGAACAAAAAAAGCTATGAAATAAGGAGGAGTTAACTTGTGGTTTTCCCAAAATTAAAATAAAAGCAACTCCTTCCCCTAAATTCTATTTTTCCGGGATCTCCAGAACCCCCATCTCTTCCTTATTTCTTATTTTTGTTTTCATATCTGAAATTGTTTAGTTGCCTTGATTTTATTGAGAAAAATAGGGAGAAAATCCCTTACAATTTAGTTCGAATCTTCCCACCTGACGACACTCCTTCGACAAAGGTAAGTTTTCGACTCTCTTTTTATTTTTTATATATTATTTTATGCTATTAGTTGAGTCGATTAGGTTTAAAATAAATAAATAAAAACATTCGATTACTTTTTAATTTCAGATATGTGTGAATATATTAGTATTTATAACACCTAAAATGACATACTATTTCGAAAATAATAATAAAAAACTATTGAAAATAAATAAATAAAAACTATTAAAAATTCAAAACAGAAATCAATAAAAAATAATAATAAAAATAAAGAAACTGTAATAAAAAATAGAAAACAACCTTCAATCTAGTAGTTTATTGCTTCTAAAAAAACGTCTGGAATCCCTCCTCCCCCCTTGATGTACAACTTCATCCGGCTATTTATAGCCATTTACAGATTTAACATAATAAACTAATCATACACTTGTTGATTTAATACAATATCATATGCAATTTTTTTATTGTGAGTGGAGGAGACAAGGACTAGTGGAGGCAGACAAGGACTAGTGGAGGCTTGGTGGCCAGGCTGGGTGAGGTATGGGCTGCTGGGATGAGGACAAAATATGGGGTCTACAGCTGCCCCTCTTTGCACATTCTTGTGTTAACAAGAATAGGGCAAAGACGAAAAATACAACCAGTTTTTGTCCGATACTTTTTTTTGTTTTGAGACTTGATACATTTGTTGGGGAGTAACTGTAATTGGGCTTTAGCCTGAGCCTAGAATTGGGCCTTGGTCTTCTTCTTGGTTTGAAGATTTCGGCTTGAAAATTCTTCCAGAAGGTAGTTCCTTGTTGCTACCATGCGTTTGATATGCCTATGAGCTGAATGAAATCGAACTCGAAGGTCTTTGATGACATATAGCTCATATCGCCTTGAGTTATGCTGTAACTGGGCTGAGGAATGAATCCCTTTTGTTGTCGATGACTCATTTGTTGTGAAATCAAGTCAATCAGTTGAGCACGATATCATTTGTCGTGAAGTTGAAATCGGGGTTGCATTACTGCTGGTGGACACGATATTCTTCGCTGTGAAGTTGAAATCGTGGATGACCCCTTCGTTGTGAAGTTGAGCATCTAATTGGATATCATTCGTCGTGACGTTAAAATCCAATCAAAGATGAATGTTGCTGGTGGACACGATATCCTTCGTCGTGAAGTTAAAATCGTGGATGTTTCGAGTCCAATATCCTTCGTCATGAAGTTGAAATTGGCTCTGAATGAAATTGGGAAGCCCCTTCGCTGTGGAGTTGAGCTTTGAATTGGATATCCTTCGCTGTAAAGTTGAAATCCAATGTTGTTTGTGAGCACGATATCCTTCTTCGTGAAGTTGAAATCGTGGATGTTTTGAGTCCAATATCCTTCGTCGTGAAGTTGAAATTGGCTCTGAATGAAACTGGGAAGCCCCTTCGCTGTGGAGTTGAGCTTTGAATTGGATATCCTTCGCTGTAAAGTTGAAATCCAATGTTGTTTGTGAGCACGATATCCTTCGTCGTGAAGTTGAAATCGTGGATGTTTCGAGTTCAATATCCTTCGTCGTGAAGTTGAAATTGGCTCTGAATGAAACTGGGAAGCCCCTTCGCTGTGGAGTTGAGCTTTGAATTGGATATCCTTCGCTGTAAAGTTGAAATCCAATGTTGTTTGTGAGCACGATATCCTTCGTCGTGAAGTTGAAATCGTGGATGTTTCGAGTCCAATATCCTTCGTTGTGAAGTTGAAATTGACTCTAGCTAGAACCTGCAAAGTTATGCATATATGCGATGCTATGGATGCAATGCTATTAGGTATGCCTAAAATGCATATGCAACATATGCTATTTTGGGTTCTGGAGAGAAATCTCGATCTCCGATTGCCTGTCTTGTTGTGTCTTGATTCTGGAATCTTGAAGTTCTAATTCCGATCTTGAATTCTTCAAATATTTAAATCTGATATTTTTATCCTTGATTTGGAAAATGGTTATCGACCATCTCAATTATGTGCATGAGCCTTGATCGACTTTCCGAGTACCTGTACTTTTCAAGAGTCTTTGTACAGTAATATACAATTATCTTTTGCAAAAGTAAATAAATCATTAGGTTTAAATTCAACCCAAGATGCTCAAAAGGAATTGATTTAGAGAAAAGATTGTCTTTATTCATAAGGGAAAAAGAACAAATGACAAACATTTTGGAAAATGAATATGATGAAGTGTGAATGAATGTCTTAGATCTTGATAATGGGTACTGTTAAACTGATAAGTCGTTAAGTGACCTTGAACGCAACCTTTGCCGAGGGATCTTTGAAGATGCGACAATGTTCAGGAAAGTGCAACCTTTCTCCGACTCGTTAATCTTGTAGAGGATTCATATGCCGGGATGTCTGGATTTCTTGAATTAATATCCAAATCGCCTTTCGGGTTTTCAACTTGGACCCCTCCTTGGTTGCAAGACGCCCTTTACAGGTTTCATCTTGAACCCACCTTATTTTTTTTTGTTTTTTCTTCTCTTTTTTCTATTTAGTGTGCCCTTTCGGGTTTTCACCCTAAACATTTTCTCTTTTTTGTTCTTTTTTTTTCTTTTTCTTTTTCGACTTAGGATGCCATCTCGAGTTTTATCCTAAGCGAAGTATTTTTGACTGCATCCGAATTGATAGGATGTGGCAGTTCTGGTCCGTCCATTTCAGCAAGGACAAGGGCTCCTCCGGAAAAGGCCTTTTTTACGACATAAGGTCCTTCCCAATTTGGCATCCATTTCCTCTGTAATCTTTATGGATTGGCCAAATTCTCTTTAGCACTAGGTCTCCTTCACGAAATATTCTCGGGCGCACCTTCTTGTCATGTGCCGAATCATTCGTTTCTGATAGATTGACCGTGATGAATGGCTTTCAGTCTCTTTTCATCTATCAGGTTCAGCTGATCGTATCGAGATTGTACCCATTCTGCATCATCCAGTTTGACCTCTGTCAAGACCCGTAATGACGAAATTTCTACTTCAATGGGTAGTACTGCTTCCATTCCATAAGCTAGTGAAAATGGAGTTGCCCCAGTCGAGGTTCGTACCGAGGTTCGGTAAGCGAACAAAGCAAAAGGCAATTTCTCATGCCAGTCTTTGTAGGTCTCAGTCATTTTCTCCACTATCTTTTAATGTTTTTGTTTGCTGCTTCTACTGCTCCGTTCATCTTTGGTCTGTAGGTAGTAGAATTGTGATGCTTTATGTTGAATTGCTCACAAACAGCTTTCATCATTTTGTTGTTCAAGTTTGTAGCATTATCAGAAATGATTCTTTCAGGTAAACCATACCGACATATGATTTCTTTCTTCAAAAACTTGCAAATAGTGGACTGAGTAACACTAGCGTAGGAAGCAGCCTCTACCCACTTGGTGAAATAATCAATTGCCACGAGAATGAAACGGTGGCCATTCGAAGCCTTCGGATGGATTTGCCCGATAACATCCATGCCCCACATAGAAAAAGGCCATGGTGATGTCATCACATGAAGTGGATGAGGTGGAACATTTATTTTATCTCCGTAAATCTGACACTTATGACATCTTTAGCGTAGTTGATGCAATCACTTCCAGTGTTGACCAAAAATATCCGCATCTCATTATTTGTCTTGACATCATGTGCCCATTTGCATGTGTTCCACAAACTCCGTTATGTACTTCTTCCACTATCATTTTTGCCTCTTCTGCATCTACACACCTTAATAGGACTTGGTCATGGCTTTTCTTATACAAGACATCCCCGTCAAGGACATATCCAGCTGCCATCCTTCTAATGGTTCTTTTGTCAGTCTCGGTGGCTTCCTCTGGATAACTCCGATTCTTGATGTATTGCAGAATGTCATGGTACCAAGGCTTAATGTCTTTCACCTCTTCGACTTGGTAACAATGAGCCGGGTACATATACGATTGCATGTCAATTGGCATCATTTCAGACTCCCCACCAGCCTTGAATACGGCTGCCAAGGTAGCTAAGGCATCAGCCATTTGATTTTCTTCTCTCGGCACATAGTGGAATGTGACTTCATCAAACTCTTCGAGTAGATCCA